TATTTTTCTTAAACATAGAACAGTAAATAAATAAGTAAAGCAAACAATCATCTCTTCTAGTTATGACCTTTGTACTCGGTTGTTGCTTGATGTAGGTTGCTATGCCTTTAAACATTTTGCACATTGAGGATATGAAACAAAATATTTTTTTAGGTTTTATATACATTTGAATAACTAAAAAAATCATACATTACAACATCAATACCATAGAATTCCACTATAATTTATCAAGCTTAGTAACTAAACTGTATTATAGTCACACAAACACACAAAAAAATTTCAAGCAGACTGAAGACACAATCTACCTCCTTGAAAGCTTGGTTGCTAAGAATTTAAAATGGCCAAGTAAGCCACTAGGGAGACATTCTGAGCTTTCGATTGGTTATTCATATCATATATTGAAGTAAGTGTATATAAGGGAGTATTTCAAAAATGGAAAGAGGTCGGCAGGGTTACACTGTTTGATATATTACATGAGCAATATCATGGCAAATAGAAAACATAAGACATTCTTATTTTATATTCTAGCTTGTCAATATCTGTAATTTGAGCTTCTAATTTGTACGAAACTACAGACTTAGTATTTTGACTTCACAAACATCTAATTTGAACCAGTGCTGAATTCAACATCTCACGTGACACACATAAATCGATGTTCATCTGTTTTTAATATTTACTTTTAACTTAAGAAATTGAGTAATGTATAGTACTAAAATTGAATTATAATCTATAGTTTGATACCAAACTTGTTGACATAAATTCATGAAATAGCAATTAAATAAACAGCAAAAAGAAGGAAAACAATAACTAGTTTCCACTACAAGGAGATACACATTAAAGAAAAACATGAATGAAAAATATATTGAATGAATGTAAATATAATCACAACACACATGCTCTGCTTTAATCCGATTACTACAGGCTACTAACTTTCTGTGTAGCCAATGCAAGTCTTGCTATATTTCATTCCAACAATAAAACTAGTGGATAAAGTTGTTTAAAACTTCATAAATGCACGTAATTTAAGAAACGTAAAGCCTGTTACTTTGATAACTTTAGTTTTTTGCATTATGATCTTTAATATTTTGGAAAATTACATTAAGAAATGGTATTTATAAGAAATGATTACAATATTTATATTTCTTCCAGATTTGAACTTTACTTTTTATGTTTTGGCACATTATTTTAAAATCTAAAAACTTTTTATTGTCCATAAAATGCAAATTTTGTCTATCTTTAATTTTTTAATAATCACGATCTCCTTATGGTTTCAAGTAATATAAAAGACCCAAAAATAATATTTCTAAGTAAACCTAAACAATAAATGAGTATTTTTTAAATTTTTAACTGGGATTTCATGTTAATTTTGTTTCATGAATGTATTTTTATTTCAAGTTTATGTTTCATTGCAGCCATACTTTTATTTATTGTGCCAAAAAAACATGAGGTTATCAGCATGAACTTCGTACATTTGCCATAAACTATCACACCTGTTGGTGGTCACTCTCGTTCAGTCCAGCACAGGCGTATTTCAACATTACTGTAGATATGATAGTAAGAAAGCTTTTCACAACTTGAATATCATTTCTTTGAACTTTCAAACAAGTTTATTTCAACATATGTCCTTGTATATTGTTTCACTATACTGACAAAACTAACTGCCACTACTAGTGATTGTACGCAATAGTTTACAGTACAGGTGGTTTGAATAACATCGTCTGACCCTAATTACATGATACATCCTGTTACAATAGATTACCAAATGCTACAGACACCATAAATTAGAAAGAAAGTTACTTTACAGCACTTTTTGTGAATCTGCCTCAATGTTTTATAAAAGTAACTTAGTTTCAAAGTTAAGTATTTACAGGTAATAGTCAGGTCTTTAATCTGATAAAATTAAAAAGGAAAACAAAAATGTAAATCATTAAAAAACAGCAATGGTTAATTTGTTCACCTGCTATGAAGTTTATTACAAAGTGATATCTTTTCATTAAAAGGTCAGTATACTAAAAATCCCCTTCCCACAACTACACACGTCACATTTTTTTGCAAAAATTGTGAAGGACTAATGCTGACCCCCTAATACCTCTTGCTCTTGAAACACATAGGTTACAAATCTAGTGTTACTTGTGTTTTAGTTGTCATATACTTTGCATACACTATATAATCCTCCATACTGAATCTTATATGACCATAAATAATTCTTTTGTGGTCATATTTGTGTTTCTGTAAAACTGTAGAATTTCAGGCTATAAAAACTCACTAATATCCAGTCCAATCTAGCCCTATGGCTATGTAACTGCTAGGTATCAAATATTTGAAACTTGTACAGAGAAACTCATGAAACACTACCAGTATTCTTACAATCAGTTCTTATGGGTATAAAATTGAAATGTGTTTTAGCTCTTATGAGATGAAACTATTACATTTATTTGTTTTATACCACAAAAAGCTGAATATAAGAATATATATAACACATAATCTAACTTACAACAGTGGAAAATGTCCATAAACTTTCCATGATTAGACAAGTTGTTAGGTTACCAGTTCTTGGCTATGGTCAAGTAGGACAATTACCAATGTGATCTACGAAATTTGACTAGTTTAGATCACAAGAGTTAACAAGCTGGTTTGTCTTTGTTGAATTCATAAGCATAAATATTACTCACTTGAAGTATGTCTTTGCCTACAGTAACAAAAGTAAAACCTGTTTCTAGTAAAACAAGATTGATAGAACAAAAAGTGATGTGTTATGAATTCTTACACTCCAAGGTAAGCTAACTAAATTTTTAAACAAAAAAATCACTCATAAAATAAAAACAAAAGTGCTATATCTTTATGCAAAGCATTCATTTTCTTGTTATTAACTCAAATATTATTTCAAGTGTACTGAAGCAATAATGTAACTCTGATGGTGCAACTAGAATAAAGGTAAAAATAAAGATACTTGTAACATTTATCATACTTTGGATCTTTTTTTAATTCATAGATATTTGAAGAATGTCATAAAACACAAAAAGAACAAAAGAAATAAAATGTCCATTTCTTCACTTTAATGTTGAATGTGCAAGTGAAACTTTAAATAACTTAAAATGGGACTTGTGCAATATTGATGGTACTAGTTAACTAAATAATTCTTAAATAATGCACCTAAGTATGAAGAATAATATCATACACAAAGCAAAAAATATCCCATAACTATTTAACTGGCTTCAACTATCCCATTAGTTTTTAATTAATTCCATAAGGTTCTTGATATGAATAGCATGAGAGAAACTTTCAAACTGAAAATGATATAGGCAATACACTATACTGAAAACAATGTAATCTGTCATGACATGATAGATTTAAACTTTGTCTTACTATTGGTTATAAATGATATAGTATAAAGTTCCTCAGAAAATTACTGGCAATTTGTGAGAGAAAGTGACAGGTGGGCATTTTGTACAGATTGAAAGCTATAAAAATTAGACTTTGCTTTAGAAATATGTATATTAAGAGTAATTTACATTAAACTCTGTACTTCAGAAGGAAGATTTAGAGAACAAATGTCACAATTCTCATGCTAGGAGAGACTGGGGATTTTTTAAAAAATTTCCTTATAAAATTAAGAACATAAATCTTGCATAATATTAAAATTTTATTTATTAATTATGTTTTGATGCCTAGGTGATTCATATACATTTATAAAAGTAATTTAAATTTTGAATATAACTCTGCAAAAGGTCATAACATTTGCACTTTAAGCTACCCATAGCAAGATAGTTAAGCAATAAGTCAGTTAAAACAATTCCTTTATCCAGTCAATGTGCCCTTAGCAACAGCAACAATGAATCTGTAGGTTAATTTAAACACTGCCATAAGAGAAAGATAGTGTTATATGTAAATCAGTAATTTAAAATATCTTTCTATTGGTTATAAATAATCCAATAGAAAATTTCAGAGAACTATCAACAGTTTTTGAAAGATGGGATGTGCTAGAAGTGGTGTGGCATATGGGTTACATTTTATTACATATTTTTTACTAAAGATTGGAGTTTAGAAATTCACACTATAGCTTGGGGATATCTATTGTGAACATTGTGAAAAACTTTGAACTTTATTTAGGAGAAAAGTATAATTGAAAGTGAGCAATCCAGAGTGATACAATTGATACAAAGAATATTGAGATTTTATTTAAATATTCTGTTTTGAAATTGAAAATGCAAAATTTTGATGACAAGTTTATTAGCATACATTAACAATAAAGTTGTTTAAATTAAATTAGGGCAATTAAACTCTCATCTGTACACACACAGTTATCAACACAACATTACTTATTTTTTGTATTTATTTAATTATTATTCACAAGAACTGATAACCAACAAGCTAGTCTTATTCCTGATGTGAGCCATGCAACCACAGCATCCAAAGGAGAAAACTACACAAATAATTCCAAGAACCCATGAGTGAAAGCAAAGGAAAACATGTTATAATATGTTAAGCCCACTACTTCAGCTATATCCAGTGCTAACAAGGCTTTTCCCCCCCAAATACTATGGTTCATCAGGCTAGCAGGGATACATAACAAGATATACTAGTGATCTAGTAGTCTAGACACTATATAATCAATTTTCACGAACAACTCTTATGATGTGAAACAGTTAAGCGAGTGAATTCTTATAATTATTAATTTTATTTAAGTCATTTACTAATCAGATTTATAGTGTACATATTAATATTTTTATTCTAACACTGATCATTTTATTATTATATGGCCAATATAAATATGATTCTACTGACGAGCAAATACTCCCATATAGGATACCAAACAGGAAAAGTCAATACCAGACCTGTATATGTTGGCCTTATTTTTCTTTCCTTGAAGACTTTGCACCAAAAGCAATTTTTCACTTTTAAATTTTTTTACGCTGACTTTGACTAGTTTAATGTATGTTTATTTTTGACTTGTTACTTTTAATTTTTCTAATTTTTGGTGTTGGTTACAGTAATTTCAATGTACACTTCTATGCAAGTTAACATACTTTCTTACCTTTGAATATGCCCCATGAGATTATTTTTCATACACTTCACTGAGAATTAGTTAAGTACTTCCAATAAAAATGTTCACCTAAATGTCTGGTTACTATTAAACTTTTTTAAGTCTACTTTTGTTTATTAAACATGCTATATTACAAGTTCTTTCTACTAACTTAAACAATAGCTATCTTAATAATATATTAGTCAGTCATTTTTTTAGTATAATTATAGAAGAGAGAACAATATGTGAAAATGTGTTGTATAACTGAAATTATAATCACTAAAACATTAAAAGTTAAACACAAAATACTACTTACATTTTTGACAGTGATGGTATCCGAGCCCCTTAATCGGCTTTCAAAATTTAGGCGATCTGTATCTCCAAAGTTATTCATCCCACCTCCTAAATTCCCAGTACCTCCAGTGCCAAGGTCGAGACCTCCCATAACTCCCATCATGTTACCACTACCAGTACTATTATTGCTCATTCCAAGTCCTGCTGCTGAAACCATGTTCATACCAGTGCCCATTGCTCCAGACAAGCCTCCACCTATTCCGGAACTCATCATTCCTTGATCTCCAGTGACACCCATTTGCATAGCTGCATTCAATCCACCCATACCTCCAACTGACTGACTTGCCATCATGTTACTCAAGTTTCCAGTGCTCATGCCCATTCCAACTCCTCCCATTCCTGTGCCCATGTTGCCCACACCTACAAGTGCCCACCAAAACAAAACACTGAACATAACCACATAATATATGGAAAAAATGCTTTTATTCAAAAATGTTATGGCTAAAATGAAAACTTATTACTTATAAATCTGCTTAATAACAATAATATTTCATTAGAGTTATTAAAGTGAACAAAGACTTTTCTAGTTTTATATCACTTACTTGGGGATAACTAAGATGCCTATTGATAATATTAACTCATGTAAAGAATACACAATCAAATTTTTTTTTAGTTGAAAGAACTTAAACAATTCATATGAACAGCTTTTAGAAATTGAACTTTGGTCAAATGACAAAAAGGTGATAATATTTGTTACTAAACACCCTTTATCACATTTAACTACAGAAAACACTTTTGACTACATGTTCTACAAGTACTGCTGCCAAAATAGGTGACAATATTTTTTTTCACCTTTATATATAATACACACTTTGCATTTAAAAGCTATTTTGCATATATTTGTTTTCTAAAGATGCTAGTCTTGTGCCTAAAAACATTCATACAATTATAACAGTTTTCATTTTGTGTGAACTTGACTCTTTAAGCCATTTCCTTTAACCACAGTTGAATAAGTTTAGAACTTACATTAAGAGGTAGCTATGTGTTAAAGAAATTTACTCTAAATACTTTACAATTTAAATGATAATTTATTGCAAGTTTGATTACGTAGCTGTTTACTAATCATTTGTTGCATAATTCAATTGTGAATTAATGTCATGTTAATTGAAACTTTTGAATTTTTCTCTTTGCTCTAAATGAGTATTGCTACA